GTCGAGGCAGCATCGACCACATCTTTACTCTGCGCCAAATTCTGGAGCACCGGCATTCTTTTCGTAGACCCACCATCTCTGTCTTCCTAGATCTGAAAGCGGCTTTCGACTCAGTCGACCGCTCTAAACTCTGGCGCTACCTTTTTCTGAAAGGTGTGCCCGAGAAGTTAGTTTCAATATTACGATCGCTTCATACTAATAGCCGAAGTCGAGTCCGGGCTTACGGCACTTTTTCTCCCGAGTTCACCACGGAAAGTGGTGTTCGTCAGGGTTGCCCTCTCTCTCCATTTCTGTTTAACTTTGTTATAGATCTGATTATGAAAACAGTCCGATCCTCGTGCGACGATAGTGGCATCGATTTACTCCCAAGTGGCAGGCTGTCTAGAGTACGCAGACGACATTGTGCTATTAAGTGAAGATCCAGGTAAGTTGCAAGCATTTCTGGATAACTTGAATGACGGTGTAGCCCATATTCGGTATGCGTTTTGCACCTTCAAAGTGTAAAATGTTACTACAAGACTGCGTTGGTCCAGCACCCAGCTTCACCCTAACTGGGGAAATAATAGAGCAGGTGGATAAGTTTTGTTATTTGGGCAGCTACATCTCACCCGGTGGACGCATCACGGATGAAGTGTCTGCTCGCACACAGAACGCTCGGTTGGCATTTGCTAACTTGAGACATCTGTGGCACCGTCGCAACATCCGGCTGTCCGTGAAGAGTCGAGTGTATGCCGCGACAGTTCGGCCAGTTCTGCTATACGGTGCAGAAGCTTGGCCATTAAGAAAACAAGATGAAGACAGACTGTGGGTGTTTGAACACCGCTGTCTACGCAGCATTGCACGCATCTGGTGGGGTAGCCGGATGAGTAGGGGCAGAGTTTTAAGCACCCGCGGTCGTCCACTGGAGCAAGTGATCGACCATAGGTTAGGTTGGTTGGGACATGTGTTAGGTATGGTACCAGATAGGTCACCACGGCGAGCGATGTTTGCCGAGGCAGGTAGCGGTTGAAAAAGGACCAAGAGTGGTCAAACGAAGACATGATGCGAAGGTATGAAATCCCTAAACAAGGGACTGAGTCACATAGGTCCCGTTAGGCACCCTGGATGGTGACCTCGGGATGATCGTACCCGATGGTTAGAGATACTGAGTGATATGGCTGGGTGTCATAAACAGTGGCGTTTGTGTATCTTCTTAATTTCTTTGCAACCTTAGACCACTGAAATTCTCCATTCTCTGTTCGACTCCACTTTTAACCTTCCTGTCTTTCTCCTGGTGCTTCATCCGAATGAGCATCCACAAGACAGCAACCATTGCCCGGCGCACGATAGTGCATGGTTAATGGTTGTACAAACTAAAACTGATACTGTGCGATGGTGTTTCTATTTTGCATATTCCTCCTATTCTAATTTCCTCTCTCGTCCCCATATCCTTGATTTTCAGCTAGCATACGTCGCCGAAAACGAAGGGAACTCACTCCGGAACAGAAACAAGAGATTGTCGAGGCATTTGATCTGTTTGATACGGATCGTGACCAGAAGATCAACTTTTATGAATTTAAGGTTCGCATCAAATCGATGGACCGACAATCGATTTCCTTCGCATTATCCAGGTGGCACTTCGTGCTCTTGGGTTTGAGCTGAAAAAGCAAGAAGTAATACAGACACTGGAAGAGTACAATATTAAAGAAGACTCGGGGTTTTTGGGTTTTGACGAGTTCAATGAAATCGGTATGTGTTTATTCGCGTCTTTTTCGTATTCAGTTTTTTCATTGTTCTTCGCAACGCTAGTTCTTTCCAATTTTCCTACTTTCACGTTCAGAAAACAGACGAACAACAAGAGGTGGAATGCGCTTATCAGTTTTATACGTTTGAACCGGTTATGCAATTTTAGTGCTCTGGAATGACAACTAAAACTTTTCACTGTTCCTGTTTTTTATTACACACCTAAGTGTGATGAGTAGCAGCGGACAGGGCGAACCCCATTGGCACGAGGACCTGCTTTTCAATGGTTTTAAGCGGCAACCTAAACCCCGGGACTTGGAGTGGCCAGCCACAACGCCCCAATAGGTCAGGCGTGGTATTGAGCCGGACGACAGCAGAGCTGCCTACCAGCAAGGTCGGGTGACGGTGGCGGGGCTCGGACCATTGGACCTAAAGCACGCCGGTGACAGCGATTAAACCACTTCGCCACCACCACCCCATAACTGTATATAACTAACGATATATATAACTTTCTTTTTAACTGTGCAGAGCATAGCCGATTTCCTCCAACAGTCGACCGTGATTGATTGGACGTAATCGTTTGTATCCTTTCGGTTGATCAGAAGCGATTCTCGTGCACCTGGTCAATCAGCAGCTAGTTAATCATCTACATAAAGATGTGGTTTTGAACGCTGAAAATTCACTCGAATGTGGAATTTGCTTGATCTCAGAGTTTGCCGGTTCTGTTGCGATCTTTGTAACCGGGGCTACGATCTTCGCTTCGTTTGTCTGAGATTTATCTCCAGAAAAAAAGCATTACTTGTTTGAAAAAAATATGCTGCTAACGCGAAAAAACATGAATAGGGGGATTCGGGTTCAGATGAGGGAAAGGATAATGTAGAAAAAGATTACAGAGAACAAAAACAACCCGGCAGTTTTCGTTTGGTTGTTTCATCGTACACATTTTGATGTTTTTTTATACAGGCTATTTCAGCAACCGTTCCTTTGTGCTCCTGACTTCTACGGTGACTTGTATCTACCAGCGTTTTTAGTCGACGGTACTGCTTAAGCCCCAATGTGGAGGACTGCTTGCACCAGCCAAGCTAAGTTATTCATACCCCCGGACGCCAGATCATGATTTGACAGTCGTGTCGCTTCTTCTTCTTTGTGTTGTCCCAGTTAAACAACCAAATAACCAAGTTGTGAATCAGGCATTTCGTTTATTTGCAGTTTTCAGTTTTAGTTTGTACAACCATTAACCATGCACTATCGTGCGCCGGGCAATGGTTGCTGTCTTGTGGATGCTCATTCGGATGAAGCACCAGGAGAAAGACAGGAAGGTTAAAAGTGGAGTCGAACAGAGAATGGAGAATTTCAGTGGTCTAAGGTTGCAAAGAAATTAAGAAGATACACAAACGCCACTGTTTATGACACCCAGCCATATCACTCAGTATCTCTAACCATCGGGTACGATCATCCCGAGGTCACCATCCAGGGTGCCTAACGGGACCTATGTGACTCAGTCCCTTGTTTAGGGATTTCATACCTTCGCATCATGTCTTCGTTTGACCACTCTTGGTCCTTTTCCAACCGCTACCTGCCTCAGTGTGGCAACCTATTTGGTGACATGCCTAACACATGCCCCAACCAACCTAGTCTATGAAGGTCGACCAATTGCTCCAGTGGACGACCGCGGGTGCTTAAAACTCTGCCCCTAACCTTAGCATTGCTCATCCGGCTGCCCGACTAGATTCGTACAATGCTACGTAGACAGCGGTGTAATTCAGTTGTACTGCAATCGGTTGGTGCATACACCGAATAAGCATCGACGCTTCATTCTGTAGCTGTTGACCCGTGCTGAACCGCTGAGACGTACAGTGCACAGTCGGCTACTGACTGAAATCCAGTCAAGAAGCGAGCGCTCAGCCTTGGCACTTAGTGCAATCCCAACACCAGCAACACTGCGAGCTTCGGATGCCCAAATCGCCTGACACACGAAGGGTGAAGCTTGAGGCTGAAATTGGATCAGGAGAACTCAAGGAGATAATGAAAGCAGGGTCTTGTATACGTCTTTCGGAGACACAGCATACATCTAAATTGAAAGTTTCAAAGGTTCTAGCCAAGGCAGCTTGTTGACCAATCTAACAGGCACATTTGTAGCCGATCTATAGGCGAGGGAGAAATTCGGGGGATGTCAACACGCAAGAAAATAGGGGATTAACCGCAGGCGCAAACCTTCACAAGATTACAATGCGGTTAATCTAAATAGTCAGTGAGCAAGGTATCACATCCAATGTTGGAACATATGTCTTTGAAGAAATTGTGCGTTGCGCTTAACCGACAATTGTTGTTTTTGGTTTTCTCTCGTTGTGGCTAATCCAAACATTCCTATACGTATCTAATAGTCAGTAAGCAGTTCACGAATCAACCAATTACACGGACATTTGCTTGGCTGGGGCGAATCGATCTTTTCATAGAGTAAGTCCGCATGACTGAAGTACGGGTATGAGTTCATACGCTAGTGAGCATTGTCGGTCAATCAATCAATCAATCAGGCCACAGTCCATTTCACATCACAATAGCCAGCACTGACAAAGAGAACACGGGGAGGTAGATAATAGGTAGGCATAAGCAAAAACATGATCGAATCATCCGAGGTGAAGTAGAACAAATTGCTTTTTCAGAGAGTGACTGTCAGTACACAATAAGCGACGATGAACTCTGTCATTACCCACTCTATGTTCCCACCAGACACGAGCAATGCTTCGAAGACATCAGTGGTAGAATACAGTTTTGATGAGAATCCTCTGCATGGAGAAGCCCATTCTCACCAGCGTGAAGTAGGACACTACGTACGAACCACGGTCATATGCACGATTCCAAGAGGAGATAGTCTTATGTCATGACACCACATTTATATGTGGTTTCACATATGTCACAGTTTGGCAGAAGTTACTCTAGATTTTTGTATTAATGCGTTCTCCTTCACCACGCCGCCTCCACTTAATTTTAACTTTACGACAACTTGCTCCTAGGAGAGGATAAATCTGCTTCATGGATATCCCGAATTGCCGCTGCCCACACTCGGCGGTCTGCAGCATATCAGCGCAGATTGTGATCCAGCTTGACTTTCATTGGCGAATGCCGTAGACGGAGCGGAGACCAAGGTTTTCTGTATGCTTGCTTACGGTGTTAAGCCAGGTTGTCAGCTGTCTATCATGTCAAGAGCGCCAGTTCGAGTAGGCAGGCAGTACCAAGACAACTTTGATCAAGTCGTTATCAGACTTGCGAAGTATGTGACCAGACCGTTGTAGTCGCCGCCCTTGTATTAGCGTCCGCAGCCGTATAAGATAAAAGCACCGGCTCCTGACCGCTTCATTTTATATCGGATACCTCCATCTTACTTCCAGAATGATTCTTAGGTCTCAGTGATCGAAGACAGTGGACAGTCTTCAACTCCAAATGGCCAAGTTGTACGGTCGTATAGCATAACAGGACGGACTGCTGCGGAGAAAACTAGTATTGTTTTCTCTAGGCCGATTTTGTTTCTGAACCAACGGGGATTTTTCAGCTGTATAGAAGACGCCTTTCTTGCGGCATCAACGCACACTTGTACCTCGTCTTAAGCTTGGCCGCTGGGAAGTATGGTTGAGCCCAGGTACTTGGAGCATTCGTCGAACTCGATCTGCTCGCCGTTTAGTAGTAAAGCATCTTCGGGACGAGTTGGGACTGTCGCAAACGTTTTGGTTTTTCCTGTGTTCACCTCTAAGCTGAGGACTGTCTATTCCTTTGGATGGGTTCCACTCCACCGTTTACTAGACCAGACAAAGCATTCTGTAGGATATCCTCTATGGCAAAGTTGAAGAGAAATGGAAATATTGAGCAGCTTTATCGCATCCCACTGGAGACGAAAAAGGGGTTGGTGATAACTAGCAGTGCGCTCTAACCCGATCTGAGGTATGACGATACAACTCTTTAAGGATCGACATATACTTCTCAGGTACTCCATACTTCAACAAACAGTTCCGTAATACGGTCCTGTCGACAGAGTCGAAGGCCACACCAACGTCTACAAACACAATGCTCCTTACTGTTTGGCAGGCATGAAGGTGCTCCAGTAATTGTTGGAAGGCGAAGATTTGATCGAGGCATCCACAACCGGCGTTTCTGCTCTTCACGCATATTGTACGGACACTAACAGCCTTTGACCACTGGTGTTAGGCTTATTCCCTTTTGATGGGAGCAAACACGGCACAGGCCCTTCGTAAAGATAGGAATAATAATCTTATCCCACTACGAGGAGGAAACCTTCTCGGTGCGCCAAATCTTGAAGAAATTAGGTTGCAGTTCTATAACAGGCTTTATTTCGCTATCCATCATTGAAATCCAATACTTTGCTACGGCCAAGGGCTTAAATTTCCATTCGGATTTCCGCCTTAGAAGGTGAGTCTGTCGAAACAGATCATTGGACTATCTGTCGAAGAGCCCGATGTTGGTGGCCATTAAAAATGTACGTTGGAATGAACCACTGAGCGTGCAAGACTGCATATTGAATGTGAGCGGGCTACTTCATACATTGTTTTGCCAACTAACAGAGCTTTCCTACCAATGACCTACTTGATATGGAACAGTTTACTAGAATTTCTCACGGCGACAACACGTTCCGTCTCTGATGCATTTCGAAACTGTCAGATTTCGCTATCAATGTGTAAGCTAATTTCAAGTCTCGCGGTGAGTCATATTTTGTTATGCTCGCTGCGGCGTGCATCAAGAAAGCGCAAAATCAACAAAAATCTAGGTTATTACTCCCTGACATGTTACGTCACACCTAGCTAGGCCAGCAGAATGCTTAGCGTTCTTGATAAGCGACCAGTGCTGGCTGATGCTTTCGGATGGGATTATTCCTAACTTGTCAGCTATCGCGGCTAGAAATATTTTTAGGCATGCTGTTTGAATCGGGTTATCACAGTGTAATCGTCATTGATTTGTGCGTTTGGAACGCCCACCAAAGTACAACTTAGTGCAAACTGTTGCACGGTCGGAATCGAGAGAGTGGCTTCAGTACAATCGGCAGTCTTGTATGCAGCCCCNTCTGCGTTCGTATGCTGATTAGTGGAAAATAGACGCCCATTTTGGTGGACCAGTGATTTGTGCGTCAAAAGAATAAGTCAGCAGAAGGCCAACACCCGTTCCTCGTTTTCCAAGCGATAGGGATCTAGCCCCAAAGGACCTCCCGGATGCAGTTCAGTTTTTGCAACCATTAAATGTGCATTTTCATGCGCCTGTCTTGGTTGCTGTCTTTTGACTGTCCATTTAGATGAAACGATAGGAGAAGGAGAGGAAAATTAGTGGTAGAGTCAAAGAGAAACTGGAACATTTCAGTAGACTAAGATTGAAAATAAATTGAAAACATGCCCGATCTTGACTGTTCGTGAGACAGTCTTATCACTGAGTGTCTCTAACCATTGATGATAATGGTCCTCGGCCAGGGATCCTAACGGGACCTATGTGGCCCAGTCTTCCAGTTGGGCTTTTCATAACCTCATGCCGGGTCTTTGTTTGATCGCCCTGGACCTTTTTTCCAACCGCTAACTGCCTCAGAAATTGTCGCCGTGGTAACCTATCAGGTGACATGTGTAACCCATATCCCAACAAGCGTAATCTTTGGAGGTCAATCACTTGTTCCAGTGGACGACCACGATTACCTAAAACTCTGTGTCTAACCTCAGCATTGCTCGTCCGGCTACCCCACCAGGTTAGTGCAATGCTGTGTAGACAGTGGTGTTCAAACGT